GGTGTCACAGGAATCTTGTATGTTCTCTTTATTCTTTCTTACTTTTTCTTTATTACTGCCTGAGTGTGATAATTCATCAGACTTGTCTTCAAACACTTACATTCTTTCTCCCAGTTAATGTAGTCTACTGAGGCTTTCAGTTGAGACTTCTATGTAACTTATTGAGCTTTTCATTTCCAAGATCTCTGTTTGGTTCCTTCTCAGAATCTTTGTTTTGAATTGCTCACTCATATCTGCATTGTCTTTCCTATTTCATTCAGCTCTTTACTTGTCACTTCTTGGAATTTATTTCTTTTTTATTTTAAAGGGAAAACAAAACAACAAAAAGGAACTTCTTGGAATTTATTGAACTTTTTAAAAAATCATCCTTTTGAGTTCTTTGTGCAGCATTTCAGCCAGTTGAATATCTTTGGAATCAGCTACTAGAAAGTTAGGAACTATAGGAAGTGTCTTTTTTTTTTTTTTCATATTTCTTCTGTTTCTGTAGAGAGATCTGTGCATCCATTGGGATGGATAGTTCTTCTATTTTTATGTGAGGGCTTTCTTAATAAGCCATCTTCTCTTGATGAGGTACCCTGAGATATTTGTTTGTTTTGTAGTGCTGAGATTAATTCCAAGTGAACTTCTTAGGGCAGTCTCAGTGTAGCTTCTTTTACTGTGACTCATGGTTTTTGACACAAAGCATACCATGCTGGAGCCTGAGGAACTTGCTCTCTATAGTCTCAGATTAGGGACTTTCTGGCAGTTTGAGCAGGTGTGGTGTAGGCAGCAGAGCACATGGGGTGCACCCTCTGTGGCTATTCTGCTGCTCTTGTTAACAGTGTGTAGTCTGAACGTACAGTGTGAAAGACCTATGCTGAGGTTCCTTATAGGTGTGGTCTTCTGTTGCTGTGGGGATGAATGTCCAGCACTAGGACCTCACACCCCTACCCCTGCCTTTTATCTCCCCTGTTCTTTAAATTGAGTAACTGCTAAGGTTCAAGTGGTAGTAGTAGTTCATGGCTGAAGAAAGGTTGGTTCCATTTCTCAGCTGGGCTGGAGGTGTAGCTCAGCAGCAAAGCACCTACCTTTGTTCATGCAGTGTTGGATTCTCTGCTCCAGGAAAGTTGAAAATTGCTTTTACTTTCCTTGGGATTGCCTTTCTGATTCTCTGTGATCTTTAGGTTTCCCCCCATTTCTTTATTGGTTCTTTCTTTCTCTCCTTAAAAAGTAAGAGTTGTTAAAAAAATTCTACTAATCAGAAGAGATTTACCAACCAAAAGGCAAACTTTTTACTTGTTATAGATTAAGATATTAACCCTTTCAGTGTTGACTACTAATAATTTTTGCTAATCTAATCTGCTACAAATGTGTTGATTTGCCTCTGTCATACTTGTGAATATTTATTAGTTTTTAAAAAATCCATCTGGAAATCCCCTTAATGTGTAACAGCTGCCATATTTATTGTCCGACAAGGACAATATTATCCACTTGATTTTCCTATATTAATAGAGGACATTGGGGCTGGGGATTTAGCTCAGCGGCAAAAGCGCCTGCCTGGCAAGCGCAAGGTCGTGAGTTCGGTTCCCGGTACCGGAGAGAAACCAAAAAA